TACCCGAGTCGAAAAATTGGGACTCATTTTATCCTCAAATGAACTATTTAGACTCATTTTTTCCTCATTTAGACGTTTTTAATCTCAGATACCTCAATAAGTTTTCATAAGACTCATCACATTGGATTCTAAAAAGTCTCATTTTATTCTCAATGTCTGCAATCCTATGGCAATAGTCCTCAATTTAACCTCAACAAGAAAAGAATGAGACTTTTTGAAGACAAAATGAGGTTTCCTAAATAATCTTTACTCCTCAAAAGTCTCATTTTGTCCTGATACGGGAAAACCGCGGATAAAATGAGACTTTTGAGTCTTGTAGTTTGAAATATCCCTAAAAATTCTATTGAGATCAAATGAGGACAAAATGAGTCCCAATTTTTTGACTCGGGTACAGATAAATTTTGTAAATGTACGAATGCATGAAATAGCGTTGATATGATGTTATATTGCGCTCATACTTATTCAGAAAAAGAAATTAATTGTGAAGGTGTAGATGATGGCCCCCACTCCCTTCGGGGGTGGGGATGGGGGGATCGAAAGAGGAGGTCTCCCCCACCACTGTACCATAAAAAGTTCGTGGCGGTCTCGCCCCCATAAAAAGTTATAGGGGTTCAAAGTTAATAAATATGCCAATTTTTATAGATTTCTAGGCATGTAAATATTTATATAGTCATTATTAAACAATATTCAAAGGTAAAACCAATGAAAAATACATAAAAATATCGAGAAAGTTANATGCAGTCATCTCCGGGAGTAGAAGAAGGCAGTCCACAGTTGCGACACGTGATTAACGATCTTCTTCCGGCCTAGTCTTCCTTGGCAATCAAGGTATTTAATAGAGCGTGATCCACCATCAAACTCGCCGAGGTTCATAGCTCCGCATTACCTCATGGTCCAACACAAATTAAAAAAGATTGTCGCAGATGGAAGCCTATTAAGCCAATTTGTGTTTGACTGGTGTTCTCCTGTTTCATATTTTTATTTACGATCCCTTAAATTTTTGTAACTCACTTATCCATTTTTGAGAACTGTGGCATATTGGATAACCACCAACGCTTTTAATATTTCTGTGAAAAGTTGTCACGTTGAAGGGTGACCGAAAACTGATGACTGTTTGTCAGTTGTTGAAAAGTTGGACGTTTTATTTTTACATTCTTTACCAAAAGTTTACAACAAATTTACAATTTATGCGACGTAAATTAGGTGTAAACATTAGTAATTAAGATCACTTATTTCTGCATAAACATTTGTTCATATACCCGAGTCAAAAAATTGGGACTCATTTTGTCCTCATTTGATCTCAATAGAATTTTTAGGGATATTTCAAACTACAAGACACAAAAGTCTCATTTTATCCGCGGTTTTCCCGTATCAGGACAAATAGAACGAGTAGTAATAAAAGAACAGTCGAGACATTCCCTGGCTTCCCCGTAGCTCCAGGTTAGAGCCACGAAAGCGACTTAAGTAAAATAAAGCAAAATTATTGTTATTGCACTTTTCTTAAGTACAAGAAACAAAAATAAAAAGTGAACTAACTGCCTTACCTAAAAGTAACGCTGAAACAATCTTCATATTACCTGTTGATAAGAAAAGATTTATAACTATGGAAAAGGTTTATCAGCTTATATATATATCAATTTAGGTACTACAGGCTTTGAACTGATAATAAATATAATAGCTCTTTGTCGGGATAATTAAAAATTAAGTGTTTCTGCTTAAATTTGGCTCGATAATATCTTCAAGACTCCAAAAAAAAAAAAGATGTCAGTAACATAATGAAGGTTAAATTTGAAAAAACTCGGAGGAGCGTGTACGACGTGTCACGCAAATTTTTTTCNTCTAGCAAAAACAGGAATTCTAAACTTTAGCAGCAGTTATTTCAGTAATTTTGTCGTGTAGGAATAGGTTATAGCTTATGAAATTTGTGGTGTCAATATTATATATATATATGCAAATGTTGGACTGTCTGTTTGGTTATTACGACTTCACGCCTTAACAACTCAATAAATCATCATTGTCAGGAGTACAGGATAGACATTTTAGGGTATATTTGATCCAGAAGAGCAATACTGTTCCTGAGGGGTGGAAAAATTAGTTTTACGTGGACGTTGATGATCTTTGACACATATTTAGGACATCGACGACAACGAAGCCGCAGGTAAAACGTATCATGAAATTTGGTACACACATTGTCAATGGTACGGAAAAAGGCATAAGGTATCTTTTAGTCAGACCAAAATACTCTTCCCGGACCACCTATAGAAAAATTAAAACGAGTGAAATCTAGTCACAAATTATGAGTAGAAACAGAAATAGAAAAACCATTGACTGCAAGGTTAGTATACGATTAGAAGATTTTAATTAATTAGTTTCGAATTTATTAATATTACGTTATACAGTGGCTGCATGCTGCTGCAATTCCAAACTTTGGCAGCAGTTATTTCAGCAGTTTTGTCGTGTAGGAGTACGTTATAGCTTCCGTTGTGTCGTTCTCAAACTACAGATAATTTTAATAATTTCACGAATACATGAAATAGCGTTGATATAACGTTATATTGCGTTCATACTTATTTAAAAAATAATTCATAAATATGACAGCTATTTTAGGTAAATTTAATAATTTATTAACTAATACATATTTTTATTCCCTGCATGTATTAAATTTCATCCAAATTCGTTTTCAAAATCGTCTGATCTATTAGTAACCATCACCACTGGCTATCGGAGAAGATTCTGTTTCATTAGAGTTCAGGGATTCAGACTCGTCCTTACCTGTAAAATGAACCAAATTATTGTCTTTAAAGTTTTATTAGACGAAAA